CACACATCTTAACGTGGCTGAGGTTGAGAAGCACTGAACGTTATTACTCAAGGGCATTGAGAAACCCTGGGCTTTTTAGAGAGAGGAAACTGCCAGGCTCTTGTGGATTGTAGAGAAATTAGTCCCCACGGTTCAACTGAGGCAGAGAAACGGTGGATGGCTGTGATCCAGAACGATCCTGGGAAATAGGGCCACCTGTGCAGAAGAAAAGAAAGGTAAACTGGGGTCAGAGAGGGAGTGGTGAAAAGCCAGTGTTCTGTGGCTGGCGGTGCTCACCAGGGCAGCTGTTCTGTGCAAGCCGCCCCTACGGCAGCCTTGTGGTGAGTGTGCCCGGGGCAGGCTCACCTAATCCAGATGTGTCAACCACGAATGCTGTCAAAGTTGCAAGCCCCTTTCCGTTTGCCATGATGCTTCGTTCTGGAGCAGAAAGAGCCACAGCAAGAGTATCTGCAGGGGGTGATAAAAAAAGCCAAGATGGCAGCCACGGCGGTGCAATCACACCTAAAAAACGGGCAGAGATTCAATTACACTGTCGTGGCCACCATCTTGGTTTTTTGACCATGCCCTAAAGACTCCCCTGGGTGGGGGAGAGGGAATTAGTTGAGAAAGAGCATCTTTAAGCAGGCATAGGCCTTTCCCCTCTACTCCCTGCTCTTCTAGTACAGGTAGTCCTCAACTTACGACCACAACTGGGAGCGGAACTTCCATTGCCCAGTGATGTGGTCATTAGGTGAGTCACATCTGATTTTGCGATCTTTTTTTCTGCAGTCATTAAGCAAATCCAGCTTCCCCCATTGACTTTCTTTGTCAGAAGCCCCCTGGGAAGGTCGTAAATGGTGATCACATGACTACAGGGGACACTGCAACTGTCGTAAATACATGCCGATTGCCAAGCACCCAAATTTTAATCATGTGACCATGGGGATGCTACGATGGTCATAGCGTGAAGGCCAATCATAAGTCACTTTTTTCAGTGCTGTTGTAATTTCAAATGGTCATTAAACAAATGGTTGTAAGTCAAGGACTACCTGTAGTAGGGGAAGGCTTTAACTTCCTGAGACATTCTTGTTCAAGGCTCATTTTGTAATCTGAGAGATGAACAAGTTCAAGATTGCCCAGAGGGGTTATCTCAAAAGTTCTGGGATCTCTTCCCAATCTAACCACAGATGTTGCATGACAGGTTACAGCAGTTGCCCTCTTGGGAGGGAAATGCCTGGTACTTTAAGGTACTTAATTTTTGCAGCAGTTATTCTTAGACGGGGCTGAACTTTATCCAAGAAGCCCAAGTGCCACAGTAAAGATTAAGCCCAGATGAGTGCTGTGTTGGCCTTTCACTTAATTTCATTTTTATTTTCCCCCATTTGCAAAGAGAACTGGCAAATAACTTCTCCACGTTATCAGAGTATTATCACATTTCTCCACATTACCAGAGCGAGTGAATAAGTGGTCCAAAGTCACGGGATACATTTCCCAGTTGAAAGGAAGAAATTGGAACCGCCAAGGCCTCCGCAGAAGCCAATTATTTGTCAGGATGGCCAAACAGGGTCAACGCCACCACTCCACCGTGTGCATGCGATGTGGCTTGTACCAATGGGGCAGAGGTGGCACCACCATCTTACAGTGCTAATTTGGCCATTTGCCCCCTGCGGGCGCCCAGGGTAACTCAGCCTAAACCCTGGTTTGCTTATTTGGTTGACTACATCACAACTCGCCGGGCTCGTGCTCTTAAGCCATCTCGTGGCTTGCCAGGCTCAACTTGATGCGCGACCCCCGCCATTTCAGTTTGCAAACCCTGCCTTCTGGCACTGCGTGTATCCAGCGCACTGTGCTTTATTCAACCAGGGCCCGTTGGCCCAAACTAAAGCTTAGCAGATGGAGTAAACCTGGACAACATCTGGCACTTTCAGGCTTCTTCCTTTGGGCTGCGTTAATGTGTGCATTTCTACAGGCCTGGGGTCAGCAGAAAATACGATGGCGTAACTCGTCCTGCCCCGACGGCTGAGTGCTTACTCACCTCCGTAGCGGAGCTCGAACGTGGTCCTGTCTTTACATGTTTACTGGGGGGAACTGAAGAGCTTTGTTTCCCACCCCACCCCACCCAGCCTCATCGACTGGTAGCAAAACCACCACCGATCCCTCTCTATAAAGTGTGACACGACACACTGGGGCAAGTTTGAGCAGATGCCTGAGACGGACTGTCAAGGTGTGGGAATGACAGGCTGCTGGCCTGCAGCAGCTGGGGTGTCTGCAGGGTGTGGTCAAAAAAGTCAAGATGACCTCCGGCACAGTGTGATTGACGTTTCCCCTGAAATCGCCATCTTGACTTTTTCGACTACACTCCTGCGCACCT